TTACATTAAAATATATATTATATATATATATATATTTATATATATATATATTTTTATATATATATATATATCTCCATAGGCTGGATGCTCAGGTAGATAGGCTTTGTAACCCATAAAAGATGATAAGAATCTGTACTGTGATAAGAGAGAGTATTCACAACATGGCAGTGTTATGACTGCTCTATGAAAAGAGACTTCTGTTGATAGAGTCGTACAGTTAGTAGGTGGAAAAGCCATGAATCAAGCTAAGAAGAAAGTAGGCATAAAATAGTTTGTCTAGAGTTTTGGAAATCTACTGACAGCTCATTCAACTCAGCAAAAGCCTTCCCTGTCTTTGCAACTATTTCAGTAACTTGACCTTCACCACAAACTCACCCTCAGAAACCTCTGTTATCACGGTGTAATCACAATCTTTTTCAAATCATCATTTTGGTACTGCAGATATTCAGGTCTGATTTTTAATCACTGACATATTAAGCATCAGCAAAATAGTTTGCTTAGCTGTTCTGTTGGCAATTTTTAAAAAGGAATGAAAACATGTACCCTTTTGATTACCTTGTTAAAGTGAGTCATGATGGCATTATAGGAGTGCTCAGTGTTTCTGCTGTAATTAAGAATGTCATATTTTTCATTGAAAAGCTTTTTTTTTTTTTAAATGAGAATCTTAACTTTGTCATTTCAGTCTGTATCAGTCTATAGCACAGCATGCAACACTCCATATAAAGACAAAACATCTGAAGTTTGCTTTTCATAAAAATTATCAATATTAAGTTGTCTATAAAATGCACAATAACATATTTAATACGTAAATTCTTTGTATTTCAACTACAAGATAGCTTTCTTTTTAAACTTAGATTTTGCAAATCCACACTATAAAGCACAATAATAAACACCAGATATAAAAGAACATTTTCAAATATAAACAAATGGTTATTTACTACGCATACAAATAAAACTTAACATTTTTATTATTCTGGATCCAATTTTCTACACTCTTTAAATTAAGTTCTTAACATCCTTCAGATGTCAAGCAGAATTTGCACAACAAAAAAACAATTTCTTTCAGTAAGCAAGGTTTAGAAGCATCTCATATAAAGACAAACAAAAGAAAGAAAAAAATAGCTGATTGAAAAAATAAAATCTTTACAGAAGGTGACAGAGTCACTAGGAGAGAAACTGGAGTAAATATATCATGGCATCTGAAATTCTGTAGCATCTACTAGTTTGATATGAGACTTTAAATCGGTAATCTGAGTTGTTTACTGGAAGCATTTCCAATGTACACATTTCAACTATAAATAACACTTCATAGAGAATATCCTTTCTCTTCTGTACATTTTTTGTTGTTCTTTGTTTTGTTATTATTTTCATTGGTACCAGAACCCAGTTTTGGTAGGGTTATTTCTAAGATGATATATTGGCTTGCCAAAGAGCTTTTATACAAACTTGAGGACATTGTATTGCTGCAGTGAAATACATCGGTGTGTCATCTGAAATAGCTCTACTGCTCAAATAGTCAAAGAGGGCATAAAGTCATTAAAAATGACCTGGCCCCAAATTTTACTTCTGAATTACTGAAATAATATTGATTTCACAAAAGAAGGTGTGCAAAAACAGATATTTCTAATGTACAACACTTGATTCTTACAAGCAATTGTAGAAAGTAAACACTTTTTTTTTCCATCTTTTTTTTCAGTTGATAAACCAATTACCTGCCTAAGCTCAGTTAATACACAGATGGGGCTATATCAAGCATCCAAAATCCAGAAAATTTATTTTAGAAAAAAAAAAAAAGACAGATTAGGACTTCACCACCTCAGTACTGCCAGGTTTTAACAATCCATACCTAATATTATTTCCTGCTTTCTTCATTGCTTTTCAACACAGCTTTTCTTTACCTTTACAAATGACATTTTTCAAACTATATAATGCACTGTGTTGCTCAAACTTTCTTGCTTCAATAGTTTCTCATTGCTGTACAAGTAAATCTACATCCTTTGTTACTAATATACACAAACCTATTGGTATGTGACTTTGACTCCAGGCTGAGAACAGGTTATAAATTTAGAAATCAATACCTAACTCTATCAATATTCATTTTATTTTTTCAATACAAAATACAAAGGTGAAGGAGCAATAAATAAGCTGGAGTACTGAAATAAATTGGGTGTTCTTGTCACAATTAATAAACGTTTAACCAATAACACTGCTTGCTACAGAAGTCTGTAGCTTTTAAGATGTCTGAAAAGAGCAGGTGCTACTCTTGCAAGACTCAACACAGAGAACATATTTCAGTACTTCACTGGTATCACCAGTCATTCCACTATTACTGAATCTAAACATTTAAATGATCGTTTCCAAGGCCGTGCATAGCACTACAGCAATTTCTTTATCACTGTAATTTTTTTTGAAAAACACAGATGATTTTTAGGATGTTTCCAGAGACTATAAGCTTAAGCAGGTCATGCTGTTTCTGATGCTATTAAATTCAATAGTTTATTTCCACTTTTTGCTCATAGCATACTAGAATGTTCAGTTTAAGTAGTATACTTTAAGAAGCAAAGTCTATGGAACTGTCTGATCTACAAGGGCTGCTCCAGAAGTAATGCCTCCTACTTTACTATGCTGGCCCACAATATTAGAGATAGATGTTGGTGGTATGGAAGCAGAGGTGGAACCTTCCTGCCAGTATTCCATTAAAGGCTGTTGCCATATGACAGATGGCAGCAGAGGGACAGTCTGACAGAATGCCATCTGACATGGAAGTGTATATCAAGCAAAGGGGTGTCACTGAATTCTTCTACATGGAAAAAAAATGGCACCCAATGACATTCATTGATGTTTGATGAATGTTTATGGAGACCAAAAAATGGATGTGAGCACAGCAAGGTGGTGAGTGGTGACTACGTTGAAAATCAGAGCAAATTTTCAGCTACAAAACACTACCAAATAGTGTTATTATGCTCTTTGTATATGTTGCAGTTTCTATGAAAATAAATAAGAGGCATTACTTTCAGAGCAACGTATGTACCTTTGTTTTTTTCAAAGGACCAACTTCTATTAGGCAAAAACATTGCAGCACACGTGTCTCCGGAAAATATCTGCAGTTAATCACTCATTTACAGTCACCCTTTCAGATTTCACTGTTAAATAAGGAAGGTTATTAGCAGAATGCTTCTTCTATCTTCCAAATTCCGTTCAAGTACGTATACACATATATTTTTCTTTCAAGAAAATATTTATTCACTAACTCTTTTGCATAAAATTTAGTCCTTCTGTTCCTATATCTTATCTGAAACAACTGAACGGAAAATAATACAATATCAAAAATGACCATTTTAATTCAGGTTTCCAGGTGTATTTTCATTCTTAAAGGATACCATACACCTTTCATAAAATGGTTTAAAATATTTACATATGTTATCAAGCCTCATAACAGATGAACTATAACTTAGTTGTAAGGAAGATATGCAGTGAAGAAAATAGTACAAATTTATAAAACGTTATATATTATCTACGTGTATGTAAAGTTTACCAAAGTTACTTAAAAATTTACAACACATAATTTACAAAGTTACTTAAAAATTTACAAATTTACAAAATGCAGAAAAAAAAACTTGAGAGCACAGAAAAATATCCTCCCTCCTTCTGTAACAAAATTGAGAAGATTACCTTGAATTTAAAAAAGGAAATAACTCCTCAAATTACTTAAAAGGTATCCCATATGATACATTTACTCATCATTATTCTGTTATCCATCAAATAAAAGAAAGTCCTGGGAATTCAGAATCTCTAAAACTGTAAATATAGAGATACACAATGTTGAATATAATACATTTGCTTTAGTATCAAAATATTGGCTTTGCAAAGTTGCGCAGAGGAACCAGATTGTAAAATAAAATACTGAACACTGAAAGCCCAAGGTAAAATGAACAATAAAATGAATTTCATGATATTTCATACCCTCTTAGTACAAAATGACATCCTTTAGTACTTGAAAGTTATCAAGTGAAAATCACCTTGTAGAAATAATTATATTATTCTCTCTTCAACCATTAAGTATTTTTCTTTCTCACTTCACATATGTTCAGAGTCTTCAAACCTGACCCATACATTCTCTTTTTCCATACTACTGCCACTGAGGTGCTTTAATAACATTTTTAATATTATTCTTAGTCTGTTACTGCCACTGAGGTTTAAAACAATGAAATTTCAGAACAGAGAATTCAGCTGGAATACAAATATTAGCCTTCTCCAAAGACAGACATCTAGAATACATATGAAAAATCATATGTGTTATGTTATGTATGTTGCTATAGTAATTACAAATGACTACCATGTACAATCCAGATTTACATATTACCAATACATAAAACATCTTATGCTGACACGCACACACACACATCTATTGTTTCCAGTATGCACAAATATAATTAATACAAACAAACTGACAAGTGTCCTATAAATCACTGCTAGGTATTGAAAAAGTCATTTCACAGCAGTGACATCAGCAAAATGCACACAATGGTTGTGACCTCGCATCTGTAAAAATCTTTCAGAATTGTGCTTGGAAATTGCTTCCTATTTAATCCACAGCATTAATTTTAAAGTTTATCACCAACTCTTCAGTTCTTTGCAGGATATTTACTATATTCATATGCACTCCTCACAGAAAAATATAAGACAACTTAAGTCTTCTACCTTTTAATGCTGAGCACATGAGCCATAATCTTTACTGTCTGTGATTCTTAGTATATGAAAAAAATATAGTCTTTTTAAATAAATGCTCTTATAAAGATCTAGAAATTGAGAATGTTTGAAAAAAAAAAAAAAGATATCCTCTTAATTCTACTAACAAAAAAAGATTAAAAAAACAACCCTGAAGTTACAACATAAGTTACTGAATTTACCCACCATTTATCTGGGTCACTGACCTACTGCTTCATATTTACAGATTTAACATCTTGTGTTTTGTGTTCTGTCCCACTGAAATTGGTTACCTGTGGGTCCTGGCAGGGGAGCAGCTTTCCTTCTCCGTTTGATGTCTCCCATGCACAATGATCCTAAATGCACACTGGTTTGCCTGCAAGTAATTATAGGAGAAAACTATTAACAAAAGAAGAAAAATGCCACAAACACAAAGCTTGTATAATCCGAACCTATATCAAAACATTCAACCGAGATGAAGCTGCGCTGTGAAGCCACCAATCTTGTTTACATCGAAGCATAATTATGTTTGTTGACAAGTGCTCAGTATCTAAACATAGCACCATAAATTGTTCTTGGAATGAATAATATAAAAGGGATGCTTTTTAATTTTCAAAACTGGTGATCTTTCTAGTGCAACATAAAACAAAAAACAAAAACACTGTTGCTTCTGACAGGAAAATAGCTAAAATTAATTATCTAAAGAAATCACAATATTGTCGGTACAATATCAATTGGCTAGTAATGCCTAACTGTCAGAACGACATTTATTGCAGGAAAACCATTGTCAATTTCTTTTTAAAGTAAGATGAAGAACAAATGAGAAAACATGGAACAGCCAACTCGTCAAAGGTACATGAAATCATCTTGCAGCATAACAATTTGCCCTTTACTAATTCAAAGGTATGGTATGATAACAATACAACAGAGCACAATGTCCAGTCTCTCATTAAACAATCATAAGCTTAAGACTAGTAAACTGTTAGAGCTGCTTAGGACAGTAGACAAGCCAAACTTACTGCATTAAAGCCACCTACCTAGCAATGAGGTACCATAGGAAGGGGTAAATTTGGAATTTCCAAATAATGAATTTTGCAATATAATCTTAAAGGACATATTTTTCTTAAAGTAATGTGCAATCCCTGTAGAAAGAAACGTACAGTTGGCTTTTTTTTTTTCTTTTTTTGTAAAGAAATGAAACCAAACAGGGGATAAATGGAATAATTTATAAATGCCACAATTTTAATGCTTCCAAATATGTTATTCAGAACTGTGAACCTCTTACCACAGTTCTGTGGCAAATTCTGATAAAAATACAAGCTGAGAACTGCATCTGATAGTCTACTGTAGCACAGTAATACTCTGTCACTCAGGGAATCTGGTTTCAGCATGGATATGTGACCTAGCCTTTACTGCATGTATAATTTTTTTTTTTAAGCTCCTAATGAATAACAAATGACCATTTATGTCGAGAGACTTCAGATCTTTTCAATAATGCAAAGAGTGAAAAGAATATATTGATTTAAAAAGTAGCAATGTACAGTCTTCTATATACTAAAAAAGAAAAAAAAAAAGATACAGTAAACTAAGAAGGAAGTACTTCAATGCTTTTATTTAAGTAGTAAAATACTCCAATAAATAAGTTTCATGCAGAAAGGTATTCCAGCTTCACTTAATGAGTCCCTATTTCAACATGTTTTTCTCTTATTTTCAGTTTTTTTCTTCCCTGCAGTTCTCAGTTGAAATACCACCCTATTTAACATCCAGAAACTGCAGTAGAACCACTGGACTAACATAGTGCTATATTTCAGTCCAAATTCAGACAGAAATCAAGGAATGTAACACATAACCAACTGTACAATACAGAAAATGAATACTTAAACATAGTATGGGAAAATAAATATTTAAGAGATGCATATAACATTGATATTAAACATGTAGAATAAGTTGTGTGGCAATTTATATACCAAACAGTGTGCAACTCTGCACTTTCAGAATGAAAAATGGAGAAAGTCTCCAGGAATGCAAGCAGGATGAAAGATAAAAATTAATAAAGTCAGGCAATTGAACCTGAAGACACAAGCTAGAGCAGTAACAGCTAGCAGTGTTTGAGTTATTTTACCCAGAATTGATTATCTGTTATACTACATTGAGATATCCAGATTATTGATCTCTAAGATTATGGTACGGGGGTCTCCCCACTTTTCCTCCAGGCACAGGAATGGAGTTGCAACAAATAACACTAAGTAAGGACTAGTTTGTTATTGTTGTCACCCTTCATGTAGAACACAGCAGTTACTTTTTAATTTAAAATCAATGAACATCTGAAAGGCAGCCCTTTCCTTCAGCATAAATGAATCATTTGTCTTTGCAAGGCACAACAATCTGATCACCAGCCAAGGTGAGTGTGGGTATTTCTTTGCTGTTGAAAATTCGGTGTGCCACAAATAAATAGCAATATGCTAGAGTCCCAATTAAGCTTTGTCAAATCTGGTTTTATGGCCACTAACATCAAGTCTCAGACTGGCTCTCAATACGGAAGTGGAGTTCACTTTCACCAGGTCTTACCATCTGATATGCACTGCCATTCAGATCGCAGCGAAACATAAAGCTAAGGGTTTTAAGAGGAATGGACAAGAACCATCACGGTTCTTGAACTAGCAGTTAGATGAAATGAAGCATCGTACTTCAGCAGAACACTACATTTTGAAATGCTCGTAATGGGGGTATTAGAAAGTAGGGAGAACTCTGACCCTCAATCAGGCTAAGTTCAGCATTATGTTCCTTAGCATTAAATCAGAAGAGTGAGGATTACAGAAAGGAAGATAGCTATTTGCCTGACTACTCTCTACTTATCCCTAGCTTGCTTCTAGCTATCATTTATAAATAGTGCTCTGCAGGGAAGCTAGGCATTTTATTAGGGAAAAAATAAAACTTGTTAAGACCACCTTGCCTGAAAACTTGGCTTTTGACGAGCTGGTGACAGGGACTAGAGCAAGCAGTGTCAAATGGAATAATTTTTAAGGAAAGACAACAGGAACTTGTCGCCTCATTGTATGCATTTACAAATAGAGGCTTTCCAGAGTATTAGGCCTAGTTAAAGCTGCCCTCTGGATAAAAAGTGTTCCCAAGCAGCCTCAGACAAGCTTGGGAGACAAACAGATGTGACTATGGTCCCTGGCGTTTGGCAAGAACACTCACTGTCAATAAGAAAAATATGAACATGGACAGGGCATCAGCTGCACCACGGCAGAGCAGGCCTGCAAGTGTCACAGCCGCGGCAAAGTTGTGGCAGGGGGAAATCAGAGGGCTGCAAAAGCCAGGCTGGTGTGAACTTACACTAGCATGCCAGGAATTGTTGTTGTGGCATGCCTCAACATATTAAACAAAAACACTGAATAAACTACTGTCAACTTTTATTTATTTATTAAAAAAGTCCTGGTTGCTATATTTAGACTCTTTATTAGACACGGTAAATAAGAGGCTCAAAACTGAATATAAACTATAGAAAGCAGGAACAGAAAAAAAAATTATAAAACTCTGTGGAAATAATAACAATGAAAACCATTGTGTGATGGAACCTACATCTGCATGGCTTACATGATGACCCACACTGAGAGCAACTGAACACACACCTCTGCTGCTACTGGAGTTAAAAATTCACTAGCCCAATCACTGAGAAGGGTAATATGATGAACTGGTTAGTTGATACTCCCCCAAATGACTTTTAGCTCACTGATTTATTACATGCTACTGTAATCACAACCATTCCAGGAGTAAAAAACAAAAAAATAAAAAAACCAAAACCCCCACAACCCCTAAAATAAACAACAAACAACTACAACAACAATCTCAAACTCAATGCTCCCCCCAGTTAAAAAACAAAAACAACACATAAACCAACTAAACCAATAATTACTCTATAGTCTCTTCAGAAAGAAACAATGAAGGCTGTTATTAATGCAGTTAACTTCATTGACATTCAGTATATTTACTGTCAAACCATTTACCTTACTACACTGCAACATTGCTAAGATAACTTGTAAGTAATGGAAATTATGGTTTTATGTTCCATAATAAAAATGTATAGAAGTACTGATGACTAACAAAGTCAGATATGGGAGAGTGTGCATTTTCTGTTTAACAACATTTATTTAATATCTCTACTCTTGATTTGGAAAATCCTATGCTAGAGGCTATTATAACAGAATAATGTTTTGAAGAAGCCTGATTTCTATACTGTAATTAGGTGAACCTGCAATAATCAATACTTGTATATCCATTATATTCCAACCAAAATCTCTCTCTCACCTGAGGAACAAATCCAGTGTAAACAGTGCCACATAATTCTGCCACAGTATCAATAAATTCCTGCAGATGGCTGTAGAACTCTTCAATTTTATCATAAGAACGCCTTAGCTACTGTAGAAACTTGACAAAAGTTTATAAGCAAAATTATTTAAGAAGAGATTAAAATAAAGGAAGAGTTGATGGGCTTGCAGTCTAGCAGAGACTTGAAAGAATTATTTTCAAGTGGAAATGTAATTGCCACTGTCATTTCTCAGTCTTAAAATATAGATAAGCAATAGATATGAATATAGATATAATTGAAGACAGAATGCAGTGAGGACCATGATTCACATTACGTTTCAAATGCTTTGACAATTCCTTATAAGCTGAAATTAAGTAGACAGGATGTGAAATAACATTCACATTAGCATAAAGATTAAAAAAAGCAACAGAATTCAAAATTGCAAACAGAAGGAAGTCAGTAAAATGAAGTGCATTGTATAACTCAACTTTACAAAATCAAAGCATAATCTGAGTGATGATGACAATATCACAGAAAAGGTTCTCAAATTCAAACACATACTGGACCTGTACTACAGATTCTTGTTTATTACATGGCTCAAAATGCAGACACTGTTGTATGCTGTTGCCAATGGAAGCACATTCATTAGCACTACTTAAATAGAAAGTCTGGATGCATTTTTAACTCCTACTGTACCCTTCTAACTCTCTACAAGTGACTAGCAATGGCTTCAAGACCATCTGATTCCACAGAACATTTTATGATCATTTTAGAATTAAACAGAATTAAAAACTACAATGTACATTTTACTAAACTTCCAATCAGATTATGATGAACACAAACTTCTACAATTTCTTTTGACTGAGTGTCCAAATGTGGGCACAGCCTCTGGCTTCCATGCAAATGGCCAGAGAACTGTAAACCTGTGGTAACATTTATAAACAATTACACATACGGATAGCTTTTTTGCCCATTCTCAAGAAGGTTTCTACACCCTCTCACTCTCTAAATATGCAAAATGCACGTGCAGTTCAAGCAGATGTGCAGGACACTACTCTGAGGTC